AAAGCTGGAAAAGGCAGCTGGCACCCCTCCCTGCAGCCTGGGCCAAGCAGCCAGGCCTTAATATGGCAGTAAGATGCCTTTGCAGACCCTTTCGAGCCGGAGGACTGGGGGTCCCAGGGCTGTCCCCATGCAGGCTCTCCTGCGTCTCACTGAGCTGCTGCTGGGCTGGTGGGCTCGCAGGTCCCATTGCAAAGCAAAGCCAAAGCATCACCTTCTTCCCACGTTCCCAGCCACAGCTCAAAGGAGAAATCTCAGAGCCATCTCAAGCTGCTTTCAACATATGCCAATAAAACAGCCCGTTCTGCGGGACACTTGTGCCACTCCACAAAACCCACCACATACCTCTGCCATGGTGATATAGGCATTGAACAGCAAATATGCACAGTGGTTAAAGTCCACCCCATGGTCCCAGGGGGTCCCTGCGCCAAAGGGGTATCAGTGTTGCAACATGAGCATGGTCTGGCTTCCACTTCATAAGCAAAGCCCAAAATACTTTCCTCTTTGACGTGTGTCGACGTCAGTGAGCAGCATCTCCTCGCCTGGGCTCCCTGGGTATGGGCTCTTGCTGGGGACATGGTATTTTCCAAAAACAAATGTCACATTGTAAAATGTGCTGATAAGCAGCCTCACTAAAAATGACTTTAAAGATAACCACGTGATAAAAACACTGATTATCTGAGGTCTTCTGTGGGGATAGCACAACTACAAACCCTTCCTGCTCCTTCTCATCCACCAGCAATAAATGTCAAAGTATGCAGTTAAATTAAGGGTTTTTCCCCCCTTCTTTCCTCCCTACCATCCACAAATGTCTCCTGCGAACATTTGGTCATTCCAGTCCAAATGCAGGTCCTTCCAGGCTTTCATTTCAGAGCAAGGAAGACAACATGACAAATGCAATTTAAATATATGGCAATGAATGTAAAATGTGTGTTCATCCCACTTGGCCGTGCTAGGCTTTGAGGTGAGTTACTGCAATGCCTGACATGTGATTTAGAGAAAGTAATCCTGTAAGTCAAACATAAAGAATTACACCTTTTAGAAAAAGGAAAGTAAGTTTTTCATTCAAGTAACAATTAATTTTTGCCTGCTTTCCAGTTGCCAAGGATTTATTCAAATGCAGCTCCACAATTTAAATGGCATGATAGCCCTTGCAGGCTCTTCCTCTACTATCTCTGTTCACTGAATCATACTTGTTTGAGGGAATGGATGAGGGACAAATACAACAGTCTGCTACAAGACAGGACTCCAATACAAAAGAAGAGGTTTCACTGCACAGGACTTAACAACCAAGCTTGAGAGAGCAGGATTTCCAGCACCTGCAAGCCCCTGAAGCTGCTCTGCATTTCAAGACATGACTTACTACAGGCCATGTGGGCTGGTGACACCA